ATTATATTGCATTACATTACAATATTATAAATATTATATGTATATATATAATATATTACATTATATTATTAACATAGCACATTATAATTATAATAATAATGATGATGATGGAATATCAACTTGTTATCAGCCACTCGCCATTATTATTATTATTATTAATATTATCAGTTATTATTTGGGTGGAATATCAACAAATTCCCTGCAAACCTGGTCATGAGGTTTCTGTGTGCCAAATGTGATCCTGATCCATTGCTGGTGGGGATCACAGTACTGTGTCTTAATGCAGGGTGAACTACAATTTCCATGCTGTTCCCCCAAACTCCTCCAGTATGTTCAGTGGCTGATCAATTCCACTCAGTTTGCTGTGAGCCATAGGAAAGGGCAGGAAAGGGTTAAGGGAGAGGTAGTGGGCAGGGTCATGCAAATTCCACACCAATGGAGAGAGAAAGGATCACTGGGATGTGGCGCTCACTATAACCTGCAGTCATGGGAGGGAGGGCCACTGGTGTTTCCTGAGTGGTGGAAGTTACAGCTGTTTGTGGAGGCAGGAGCTTGTCTGTGGAGTAAGTAAACATGCCGCCATGTACACACATACAGATTTTCACTTTTATTGTGTGTATAGATATTATCAGTTATTATTATTTTGGTGGAATATCAACTTGTTATCAGCTACTTCATAATTATTATTATTGTTATAATTATTGTGGAATATCAACTTGTTATCAGCCACTCCTAGCCATTCTTATTATTATTATTATCATCATCATCGCATCATAAATACTATCCCCCATACTTACTATGCGATTTCTCCCGAAATGCGCTCTCGATCTCTTTCAGCAGTTCTTCTGCGACTGCAGGCAAAGTGGAGTCCATCCCTGTCTCCTGTGGCAAGACAAACAAATACACACAGTTTTGTTAGGAAAGGATAATATAGGCATTCTTTAAATCCACTAGAAGAAGGGGAGAGCAAGAAGAGAGGGTGCCTTCATTTATTTACATGTTACAAATGTCATGTTGCATTTGTTTTTCATCCAAAAGGGAAGGCCTCTCAGATACCGTAGGCCATCTAGTATTTAAGTGACTTAAAACTCGGTCAAGTATTTAGAAATACAGTTCAGGCATTCAAAGAAAAGGAGCAGGCAAACTCAACCAAGAATGTGAAAATAGTAAATACTGTGGTCTCAGTTCTGAATAATAATAATAATAATAATAATAATAATAATAATAATATATTATTTTATTGTGATATTATTATATTTTATTATAATTTTATTACAATTATTTTTATTATTATAATTATCTGTATTACTATTCTATTTTATAATTATATCATTATGTTATGGTTATATTATTTTAATTTATTCTTAGATTATTCTATTTGATTGCTATATTATTAGTTATATTATTTTATTCTTGTATTCTTATATTATTATTTGTGTTATATTATCCTATTTTATTATATTCTTATATTGTCATGATATTATATTGTTATATTATTCTATTTTACTATTATTCTGTTGTTATTTTATTTTATTGTTATATTATTATTATCATCATTATTTTCTCTCCAAAAACAAGACTCAAAGCGGCTCACAACTCTAAATACAGTTTACAATTGAATACCCACAACATATAAACCTTAAAACGGAACTAAACACAGAATGGTTACACTGGCCTGAAAACCATTTTAAAAACACTACACTGCACACTCTAAAGAACTTTTTTCTTTGTCTAATAATAATGACATTTCAACATTACCACATTGGCAGAATAATAATGATGATGATGATGACACTGGAACATTAGCGTAATAATAATGATGATAATGACATTGCAACAATGGCAGAGTAATAATGATGATGATATTGCAACATTGGCACATTGGCACAATAATAGGAATGATGCTGGAATATGGGCAGAATAATTATAGTAATAATGTTGCAACACTAGCACATTGGCAGAATAACAATAGTGATTATGCTGGAACATAGAAATAATAATAATAATAATAATAATAATAATAACAACAACAACATTGCAACATTGGCATAATGATGATGATGATGATGTAACATTGGCACATTTGCATAATAACAACAACAACAACAACAACAACAACAATAACGCAGGAACATGGACAGAATGATGATGATGATGATGATGATATTGCAATATTGGCACATTGGCACAATAGTAATAATAATAATAATAATAATAATAATGGCATTGCAACATTGGCAGATTAATAATGATGATGGAACTTGGGCAAAAATGTTCCAGTGTCGTGTGTTGTTTTCATAAAAGAAAACAACACACAAAAAGTCAATTCCCTCCGATGATGATGACGACATTGCAACATTGATACATTGGCAGAATAATAATAATAATAATAATAATAATAATAATAATAATAATGGAACTTGGGCAGAATAGTAATAATAATAACGTTTATTACATTGGCACATTGACATAATAATAATAATAATAATAATAATAATAATAATAATAATAATAATAATGTTGCAACATTGGCACAATAATTTTTCTAGTATTGCCATGCCAGAAATTTGGGGAACCCAAAATAAATGTATATTTGAGGGGGAGGATAATATTCCCATTTTAATTCTTGTATTTATTATGTGATAAATGCCTGTTAAATAGTGCTTTGAGTCTTGATCTTAGAGAGAAAAAGCAGATGTATTAGTAAACAGGCGTTCGGATAAGCATGCAATAACATCTGACTCAGAAAGACGGCGTACTGAACAAGGAATGGTAAAACGACAGTGAGATTTGGATCTGATTCTATTCGAGGCGTGATGACGTTATGTGTATTGTTTGTAGTTGTTTGTCACATATATTGTTCAATGTTGCACATTTTACTGTAAACCGCTTAGAGTCGCCGTTGGCTGATATTTGCGGTATACAAAAGGAGTAAATAAATAAATAAATAAATAAATAATAAACATAAACATAACAACAATAACAACAATTAACATCCTCTAGCTGGAAGGAAAAATGCGCATTTTGCGAAGGTGAAGAGACTAAGTTGGTGTAGTTTTTCTCCGTGCAGCTAATTCATTTCATAAAAGAAAACAACACACAAAAAGTCAATTCCCTCTGATCTCGTGGGATTATTTTTGATTATTTAAATGCGTAGGATGTTTGGCCAAAGGCAGGGCTTCTATAGACTTCTGGCAGCAGGGAAAGACAAGACCCTGGGATCCTGACCTTTGGGGATATTAATATTTTGAGAGGCGCACGGCTCCGTCGGCTCTGCAGAATGTAGGCGACGCTCCGAGGCAGAGACAGGCTAATATCCCCGAAAACCATCAAAACAGAGACAGAAGCTCCCAAAATGAGAATAGAGATCCGTCTTTTCTTTGGCAGGCTTCCAGGCGCCATAGACTACCATTCCCATTAGGAAGAAAGTTGTAGGCTAGCAGACTTCCCGATAAAACAATCCCTAAAGGAAATTTCAATGGGACTTTTCCCCTTGTTGCTCCAGAACACAGATAACAAGCACTGAGCCCATAAAACACCACTGAAGGCAACATTTCTTTGGCTAAATATTGAACACTAATTTCAGAATATATTTCAAATATTTTTTCTAAATAAGAGTTATTATTCTCCCAAAGTGCCAATGTTGCAGTTATTATTATTTATTATTATTCTCCCAATCTGCCAATGTTGCAACATTGTGATTATTATTATTATTGCCAATGTACCAAGGTTGCAATTATTATTTATTATTATTATTCTCCCAAAGTGACGATGTTGCAACATTGTTATTATTATTATTTCTGCAAATGTGCCAATGTTGCATATTTATTATCATTATTCTCCCAATGCGCCAATGTTGCAACATTATTATTATTTCTCCCAATGTTCCAGTGTTATTATTCCCCAGATTTCACAATGTTGTAACATTATTATTATAATTATTCTGCCAATGTGCCAAAGTTGCAACATTATTATTATTATTCTCCCAAAGTTCTTGTGTCATTATTATTTCCCCAATGTGCCAATGTTGCAACATTATTATTTCTGCAAATGTATCAATGTTGCATTATGATTATTGTTATTATTATGTCAATGTTGCAGCATTATTATAATTAGTATTATTCTGCTAATGAGCCAATATATATGACATGGCTGGACGGATCTGAACCAAATGATAACAAGTAATAATAATAATACAATTATAATACTGAAAATAAATTATTATACATGAATACAAATATAATGCAGTAATATAATATGAATATACTAATATACAAATAAATCTAAATATAATATTGTCAAAGGCTTTCATGGCCGGAATCACTGGGTTGTTGTAGGTTTTTTCAGGCTATATGGCCATGTTCTAGAGGCATTCTCTCCTGACGTTTCACCTGCATCTATGGCAAGCATCCTCAGAGGTAGTGAGGATGCTTGCCATAGATGCAGGCGAAACGTCAGGAGAGAATGCCTCTAGAACATGGCCATATAGCCCGAAAAAACCTACAACCCTAAATATAATATATTAAATGTCAGAATTATTGAAGGTATGCATGTATGGTTTTTCAATGTCCTTCTATATGATTAAGAATGGTGTTCATATGTATTCAAGATGGACTCTGTTATGTTCAATTATGTGTTGGAATTGTTGTTGTAAGAGACAGAGAGGTACAGAGAGAAGAGACCTTGAATTTGAAGAGACCAGAAGTTAGATAACAAGTTTCTCTGCTGGGAAGAAAAAGGGAGTTTCCAGCTTACAGCCAGAGAGCCTGATAAGCAGATGTTCTGAAACTGTACTGAAGCTGTGCTTTGTAGTTCCTGATTTTGCCTGCTTAGAAGTAGACGTGTATTGAGATGTACTAAGTAAACTTTATGTTATTTTTGAAACTGGAAGACTGCAGTGTCCTGATTTGTGTCTGTGTGATCTATTAACCTCATCCGCTGTGCATAGCATCCCAAAGTTCACTCTGACATTAAATATAATATAATCCTCCGGGGAGGCCCTGCTTTCCGCCCCACCATTGTCACAGGCACGATTGGTGGGGACGAGAGACAGGGCCTTCTCGGTGATTGCTCCCCGGCTATGGAACTCCCTTCCTGGTGAGATCAGGTAGGCCCCCTCCCTCCTGTCCTTTAGAAGGATGGTAAAAACTTGGCTGTGGGACCAAGCTTTTGGGACAGGGCAATAAAGCAGCGATAGGAAAGATTTCCAGGCCAATTAGACTTGACGTGGATGATTAGGACGGTTTCAAATGGTGTATTTTAATATTTTGATAAATGTTTTTAATGTTTATGTATGTATATAAGAATTTGTGTCCTGGCATTGAATGTTTGCCGTATATATGCTGTGCTCCACCCAGTTCCGAGCACAATTCAAAGTGCTGGTTTTGACCTACAAAACTCTATACGGCTCCAGCCCAGCGTATCTGTCCGAACGCATCTCCGTCTACGTCCCACCTCAGAGTTTGAGATCTTCTGGGGAGGCCTTGCTCTCGACCCCACCTCTATCACAAGTGAGATTGGTGGCGATGAGGAGCAGGGCCTTCTCGGCAGTGGCCCCTCACCTGTGGAATTCACTCCCCGGGGAAATCAGGTCATCAACATCCCTCCTCTCCTTCAGAAGGAAATTAAAAACATGGTTGTGGGACCAGGCTTTCGGGCAATCTGGCAATTAGACAAGGACAATGATGACTAGACAATATGGAATGAATTTATGGACTCTGAGATGGTGAACGCTGAGTACTGACTGGTTTTACTGATTTTGTTGTATAAAGTGACTGTTTAATTGTCATAATTGCTATATACTTGTTTTATCCATTGTTTATGTTTATGTTGGCAGCGAATTGTGCCTTTTGTAAGCCGCCCTGAGTCCCCCCCCCCCTCAGGGGGTTGAGAAGGGCGGGGTAGAAGTACATGAAATAACTAAATAAATTGTAGTAAATGGTTCAGGATCTTCAGCAAGTCCTGTAGTATAGAATGTTTGAATAAATAAATAAAATACATATATATATAAATACATATAATATATAATTTATTAATTTTTGTTGTTCATTCGTTCAGTCGTCTCCGACTCTTCGTGACCTCATGGCCCAGCCCACGCCAGAGCTCCCTGTCGGCCGTCACCACCCCCAGCTCCTTCAAGGTCAGTCCAGTCACTTCAAGGATGCCATCCATCCATCTTGCCCTTGGTCGGCCCCTCTTCCTTTTGCCTTCCACTTTCCCCAGCATAGTTGTCTTCTCTAGGCTTTCCTGTCTCCTCATGATGTGGCCAAAGTACTTCAACTTTGTCTCTAGTATCTTTCCCTCCATACCCCATAGAAAATAATATGCATGGCCAAAACAAACACATGCATAGGTAAAGGTAAAGGTAGTCCCTGACATTAAGTCCAGTCATGTCTGACTCTGGGGTGTGGTGCTCATCTCCATTTCTAAGCCGAGCCAGCGTTGTCCGTAGACACCTCCAAGGTCATGTGGCCAGCATGACGGCATGGAGCACCGTTACCTTCCCGCCAGAGCGGTACCTATTGATCTATTCACATTTGCATGTTTTCGAACTGCTAGGTTGGCAGAAGCTAGGGCTGACAGCGGAAGCTCATGCCGCTCCCTGGATTCAACCTGCGACCTTTCGGTCAGCAAGGTCAGCAGCTCAGTGCTTTCATCCACTGCGCCACCGGAGGCTCCAATATATATATATATATATATATATATATATATATATATATATACACACACAATAATATAATATAATAATATTTATTTATTTACCTTACTTATATACCGCTGTTCTATATATATATATATATATATATATATATAATTTTATATATCACATATATTACATATATGTAAAATAAAATATAAAAATATAGTATAATAAATATACTAATAAATATAATCAACAATATTTTACATTTTCTGAGCCCTGGGCTTCAATCACGTGGGCTCGAGCTGCGCGCGCAGCTTCCCCTCCGCGCCAAAAACAAAGAGGCGGCAGCGCGGCACGTGACGTCCCGCGGCCAGCCAATCAGCGGCATCGAAACCCACGAGGGGCGGGGCGGGCGAATAGGCACGCGCGTAAAGACACGTGACTGCCGTCCCGGCCAATCGCATAGCAGCAAAAAGGCGGGAAAAGTAAATTGTGAGGAAAAAGTACCTTCTGAGGGAAATTTTGTATATAATTTATATATAACTTACAGAAACAAACAAAACGAGTTATATTACCTCAGTTCCCAAAGTTACCTCACGATTCGTGACTCTAAATCGTGAACTCTGAAAGGACACGCCCCTTTGTCACGGGAAGCGCGCGGCCATATTGGATTCCTGTCAGGACCGGAACCGGAAGTGATGCCACGACGCAGTCACCGCCCCCAAGCCTTAAAGGGCCATGACGCTTTGGAGGTCGCTCCAGCTTCTGCTGCCGAAGAAAGGCTTCATCATACTGGCGGCGACGGCGGCGACGAAGCGTTGCCTGACGCAGCCGATGCCGCGACCAATGAGAGGCGCGCGGATGGGAAGGCGCCGCGTTGCTATTGGCGGAGCCGCCGCCACTCTGGGCTGCTTCGGCCTATCAGGTGAAAGGGGCGGGTCTTCTGTGGGCGGGGCTACACATCAGAGTGTTGTGCACTGAGTGGGCGGTGCTCTCACTGTGTGGGCGTGGCTATGCGTAAATGCTGTGCTCTGATTGAGCGCGGCTCCTCAAATGTGGGCGGGGCTATGCATAATAGGCAAGGTTGTATGTTTAATAGACTGGGCTTCGCATAAAACTACTAAATGGGTGGGGCCTGTACTGTGGGCGTGGCTACACATAAATATATGCTGATTGGGCGTGGCTATGTTGTGTGGGCGTGGCTATACATAAGTGTTGTGCGCTGATTGGGCGGGGCTCCTAGACTGTGGGCGGGGTTATGCAGAATAGGCAGGGTTGTGAGTTAAGTGGACAGGGCTTAGCATTTATTTATTTATCGAGTCATCAGCAACCAGTCCATTATATTACATTTCTAACAGAACAAAGCAAACAAACAGACAAAATACAACATTTGTGAGTTTGGTAGTTGGTTAAATGTCCTTTGACCAGTATCTGGCCACTTGGAGTGCTTCCGGTGTTGATGCAAGAAGGTCCTCCATGGTGCATGTAGCAGGGCTCAGGTTGCATTGCAGTAGATGGTCAGTGGTTTGCTCTTCTCCGCACTCGCATGTCGTGGATTCCACTTTGTGGCCCCATTTCTGAAGGTTGGCTCTGCATCTTGTGGTGCCAGAGCGCAGTCTGTTCAGCGCCTTCCAAGTCGCCCAGTCCTCTGTGTGCCCAGGGCGGAGTCTCTCATTTGGTATCAGCCATTGGTTGAGGTTCTGGGTTTGAGCCTGCCACTTTTGGACTCTCGCTTGCTGAGGTGTTCCAGCGAGTGTCTCTGTAGATCTTAGAAAACTATTTCTGATTTAAGTTGTTGCTGGCTGATACCCAAACAAGGGGTGGGCTGGAGATGTCTCTGCCTTGGTCCTTTCACTATTGGCTGCTACTTCCTGGTGGATGTCAGGTGGTGCAATAACGGCAAAGCAGTGTAATTTCTCCAGTGGTGTAGGGCGCAGACACCCTGTGATAATGCGGCATGTCTCATTAAGAGCCACATCCACTGTTTTAGTGTGGTGAGATGTGTTCCACACTGGGCATGCATACTCAGCAGCAGAGTAGCATAGCGCAAGGGCAGATGTCTTCACTGTGTCTGGTTGTGATCCCCAGGTTGTGCCAGTCAGCTTTCGTATGATGTTGTTTCTAGCGCCCACTTTTTGCTTGATGTTCAGGCAGTGCTTCTTGTAGGTCAGCGCACGGTCCAGAGTGACTCCCAGGTATTTGGGTGCGCTGCAATGCTCCAGTGGGATTCCTTCCCAGGTAATCCTCAGAGCTCGGGATGCTTCTCTGTTCCTGAGGTGAAAGGCACATGTCTGTGTTTTAGATGGATTAGGGATCAGCTGGTTTTCCCTGTAATAGGCAGTAAGAGCACCTAGAGCTTCGGAAAGCTTCTGTTCTACCATCTCAAAGCTCCCTGCTTGAGCGGTGATGGAACGATCATCAGCATAGATGAAACTCTCTGTCCCTTCTGGCAGTGGCTGGTCATTTGTGTAGATGTTGAACATGGATGGAGCAAGCACGCTCCCCTGAGGCAGGCCGTTCTTCTGTTTCCGCCATCTGCTTCTCTGGCCCTGGAACTCAACAAAAAAGCTCCTGTTTTGTAGCAGGTTTCCTATGAAGCAACCAGCATGCTATGCATAATAAGCGGGGTTGTATTTTTAATGGACAGGGCTTTGCTTAAAACTGCTGAATGGGCGGGGCTGTACTCTGTGGGCGGGGCTACGCATAAATATGCGCTGATTGGGCGGGGCTATGCAGAATAGGCAGGGTTGCCTGTTAAATGGACAGGGCTTCGCATTAAACTGTGCTGAATGGGCGGGGCTTCACAGAAGGGTATTGTGCTCTGATTGGGCGGGGTTATGTTAAGTGACAGCTTCATGTTAGACTGCTTTGTGGGCGGGGCTTGTGCTTTGTGGGCGGGGCTACAGAAATATATATAAGCATTTCCAATAAATCATGTTTTTTCCTCTCTCTTTTCCTCCCTTTCCTCCTCTACAGCCTTTTCCCTTTTCTCCCAGGAAGCTGAGAAGGAAGAAGGGGGAGGAAAAGGAGGAGGAGAGGAGGAGCCAAAGGAAGTCAAGCAGGAAGAAGCCATTATCTTCCTGCTCAAAAAGGCCAAGGTCAGCCCTTGAAGGAAGAATAATAACCTGGGAATTATTATAATCCAATCTTTTGAGTGTCTATACAGAGGCAGACAATCCTATATATCTAGGCATACATATAATCCTATACTATACACACATGTCATGCAGGCCACATGACCTTGGAGGTGTCTATGGACAATGCCGGCTCTTCAGCTTAGAAATGGACATGAGCACCAGAGTCGGACACAACCGGACTTAATGTCAAGCGGAAAACCTTTAACTTTACTATACATATGTTTATAGGATTATATGGATAGATATAGATATATTGTGTATACATATAATGTTGATATTATAATATGATACAATATAATAATACAATATTATAATTATATATTTTATATTACATGTAATATTAATATTACAGAATAACGGTATAGTACAATATAGTACAATATAGAGCCCCCGGTGGCGCAGTGGGTTAAAGCGCTGAGCTGCTGAGCTTGTTGATCGAAAGGTCGCAGGTTCGATTCCGGGGAGCGGCGTGAGCTTCCGCTGTCAGCCCTAGCTTCTGCCAACCTAGCAGTTCGAAAACATGCAAATGTGAGTAGATCAATAGGTACCGCTCCGGCGGGAAGGTAACGGCGCTCCATGCAGTCATGCCGGCCACATGACCTTGGAGGTGTATACGGACAACGCTGGCTCTTCGGCTTAGAAATGGAGATGAGCACCACACCCCAGAGTCAGACATGACTGGACTTAATGTCAGGGGACTACCTTTACCTTACAATATAGTAGTATATAATATATTATAATTATATATTTATTATAATACGTAATATTACTCATAATATTCCAGTATAAATGGTATAGTACAATATAGTAATATATAATATGATATTATAATTATATATTTTATATTACATGTAATATTACTGTAAATATTACAGTATAGTGGTATAGTACAATATAGTAATATATAATATATTATAATTGTATATTTATTATAACATGCAATATTACTCATACTATTACAGTATAATGGTATAGTACTATATAGTAATATATAATACAATATTATTATATATTTATTATAACACGTAATATTACTCATAATATTACAGTATAGTGGTATAGTACTATATAGTAATACTAGCTGTACCCTGCCACGCGTTGCTGTGGCCCATTTCAGTCTTCCCTTTCTGCTTCCCTTCCTTCCTTTTTTGTTTCCTTCCTTTGTCTTCTTCCCTCTTTCCTTCTTCTTCTCCTCCTCCTTTTTTTCTTCTTCCTTCCTTCTTCCTCTTCCTTTCCTTCCCCTTCTTTTCCTTTCCTAATCTTCCTACCCTCGTTTTGTTTCTCGCACTCGCCTTCCCTTCAGGATCGTGTGGCGGACTCTGGTGGTGGACCACTAACGGTATGACAGCGGGAAAGATCTCCCTGTGCTGGAAGGACGCGGTAGTAGGGAATCCCTACTGTATTGGATCCCCTCCTTGGCGAGGAGGAGGCGGCCAGAGGCGGAGCGGGCCCCTCCTGGCCCCCGCAAACGTAGGCCCTTTCCCTCGTTACCTTTTACCTTAATTCTTCATTAACTTCATTCTTCATTACTTCATTCCTTCCTTTACCCCCTCTTCCCTCCCTCCCTCTGTCTTTCTCTCCTTCCTTCTGTTACCTTTAATTTTCCTTTTACCCTTCCTTCCCCCTTTGGCTCCTTCATTCCTTCTCTTTCCCTTCTTCTCTCATTTCTTCTGGACTGTCCCTTTCAACGGTAATGCCGCGGGGGGAGGGGGGGTGAGGGGCGGCAAGTGCGCGCGTGGCGGGGAGTTTGCGCCGCGCGCGCGTGTGTGCCGCGGGGGGGGGGCAGGGGCGGCGGGTGCGCGCGTGGCGGGGAGTTTCCGACGCGCGCGCGTGTGCCGCGGGGGGGGGGAGGGGCGGCGGGTGTGCGCGTGGCGGGGAGTTTGCCGCGCGCGCGTGTGTGCCGCGGGGGGGGGGGAGGGGCGGCGGGTGCGCGCGTGCCGGGGAGTTTGCGCCAGTGCGCATGTTCAGTTGTTTTGTGGTGTTTTCGTCGTTGCAGTTGTGTTTTCTTTACTTTGGAGTAGATTAGTTTGTAGCGAGTGGGTTGTCCTAGGGGCATGGGAATTTTGGTTCAGTTTCGTTGGGGGGTTGTGGAGTTATGCGACGCCGTACGACGCCCCCTACAGATTTATATATATAGATTAATGTTTTATATAATTATATATTTATTATAGCATGCAATATTACTCATTACAGTACAATGGTATAGTACAATATAGAAATATATAATATGTTAATATAATTATATATTTATTATAACATGTAATATGACTCATAATATTACAGTATAATGGTATAGTACAATATAGTAATATATAATACTAATATTGTGCTATGGTAATAATATAATATATTGTATTTACGTATTACTTGTAAGCTGCTCCGAGTCCCCTTCCCGGTGAGAAGGGCGGCATATAAATGTCATAAATAAATAAATAAGTAAATAAATATACAGGCATACAATCCATATATAATATGTATTCTATATTTAGTCTATATTATTTTTATTATTATTATTATTATTATTATTATTAAAATACATATAATACATTGCTTGTATATTATACTATTAGTAAAGGTAAAGGTAAAGGTTGTCCCCTGACATTAAGTCCAGTCATGTTTGACTCTGGGGTGTGGTGCTCATCTCCATTTCTAAGCCGAAGAGCCAGCGTTGTCCGTAGACACCTCCAAGGTCATGTGGCCGGCATGACTGCATGGAGCAC